GGCATGCATTTAACATAATATCTAAAAATATGGCAATCTATATCTAAATTATATATAGTATTTCCTAACATAATACAGTAGTATCTATTCCGGTGAAAGAATACTTTTAAAAAAATTGTTTAATCTAATTTTTTAATTAAACATCTTTTAAATCAACTAAGTGTCTGAATTAAAAAATGTTCTGTCTTTTAATTTAACATATTATCACTTTTAACAAATGACTATCAATCAATTTATAGAATTATCTAATTAATTTGAACGTAATCTAGAATTGATTAGTACTTATCAATTAATTGAAAGAGTATATATGAGTTAGGAATGACAATAAGTGATAAGAAAAAAGTTAGTTTAAAAAATATAAAAAAATATACCATTAAAAAAATGGCAGAAGCATTATCAGATCATGATGAAACAGATTCAATAGACTCTGTTGTACCAAGTTATAGAGAAGAAGCAATGGGTGACGATGGTGATATTATTAACTCAGCTAAGAAGATGAGAGCATCCGGCTTATCATATGAAAAAGTGAAAGTCTTCTCTGATGGCAAATGTGCTGAAGAGGAGGCTGTTAAATATAATAATTTCAAATGGACTTGCTGTAAAATTAATGATACGGAGCAAGGAACCAAAAAATATTATAAATGCAGCTTTAAACGTGGTTCAAATTGTCCAGCAAAAATTTATTTATTATTTCATGCAAGCAACTTTGAAGTAACATTATTTCAAGCAATTATCCGGCATGATCATACAAGAGAATGCAAACAAACTGGTATTCCAATTGAAGTAAAAAATGTTATTATTGAATTATTTCAAAACGGATACACTACACCAAAAGCTATTTTATCTGAACTTGATAAATTGAAAATAATACAACCAAAGGCATCGCAAATTTCAAACTTTTTGGTAACTCTTCGCAAGAAATTATATGGTCCAGCTCAAATTAGTTTAAATTGTATTAAAAATTGGTGTATTGAAAAATCTATTATTCCAAATGATCCTGATGAATGTTTTGTTGCTAATTATTATATCAAAGATGATGATGCCAATCCATTATTTAGGTTATTTGTTACAACCAAAAATTTAATGAAAAATTGTTTAAATTCAAATCATGTATGTGCAGATGCAACTTATAAATTAATATGGCAGGGTTATCCTGTATTGATGGTAAGTACTACTGATAAACAGTGTGCTTTTCATCCATTTGGTATGGCGTTATGTATCAATGAACAAACTGATGATTTTGAGTTTATCTTTAAAAGTCTTCAAATAACTGTTGAGAAATTATATAATATTAATTATTGTCCAATTATATTAGTTGCTGATACATCTGGAGCTATAACAAATGGTTTTATTAATGTATTTAATGTTATTGAAAAAAGAATTATGTGTTGGTTTCATGTAACGAAAAATATTGATACTCGATTAAACGCTATTAAAGATAAAAAAATGAAAACAGAATTAAGACAAGATATTGAATTTATGCAACTTATTAAAAATGAAACAATTTTTGATGCAGCAATTAAATTATTCCAAAAAAAGTGGAAATCAAAGAAATGTCCGCTAATTAATAATTTTATTGATTATTTTATAAATGAATGGTATATGTCAAATAAAGGATGGTTCGAAGGCTTTGCTATTGGTTATCCAAGTTCTAATAATGCATTAGAAGCAACAAATGGTAAAATAAAATCTTTATATACATTTCGAGAACGCTTACCTGTTGGTGAATTTTTATCAGTTCTCGAAAAAGATATTATTCATCAATTATCAAGAGAACGCAATGTTGATGATATAGTTACATCGCAAAATGCAAAATCTTTCGCAAATACTCCATCTATAAATTTATCACTTTGGACATCAACTTATCACTGGATAAAAGAAGAACGAGAAGTTATAATAATGAAAAATAATGATGGAAAAAAAATGCATTTTATTGAATCATCTTCATTTCAAGATAATTATGAAGATTTTAATAAAGAATTTATGAAGAAGCTATTATATAATCAACAAAACGTTAATTGGTGTGATTTTGATATTATGAAAGGTGAACAACTATCATTTTGGGAATGTGAATTTTTAAATGAAAGTGAAAATTGGATAAAAAGTACATGTTCCTGTCCAGCTTGTTTAAAGTATTATATTTGTAAACACATTATAGGCTTAGCAGCACGATACAAATTATGCAGCATCCCATTGGAAGCTAAAAATATTCCTTTGGGACAAAAAAGAAAAAGAGGCCGTGGTGCTAAAGCTAAAAAAGCATTAATTGTGCAATAGTTTTCTTTTTTTTGCTGTGTTTTTTTGTTATAAGTGATAATCATATCTTTATTTTTTTCTATTACTTTAATTATTAATTAGATATAACTTTGTGTTGTTAGGTTGTGTTACTTGATAAATTAGATATAAATAAATTTTAAAATTAGATATATTATTTTCTTAATTAGATATAAATTCGTCCTATATTAGATATAAATTTATTTTAAAATTAGATATAGATTGCCATATTTTTAGATATTAGTTTAAATTTGCCCCATTGAGATCGAGTACAATTCAAATCAACCTTGATTGATGAGCTTAAACTAGATCCAAAAAAATTCGCAAAAAT